CTCATCAACAAGCTGTTTCCACCCACAGACCTGCTGCTCATTGAATGTATTTTGTTTTTCTCATCATTCTGTGTAAACTTTATTGACTGTTTATTCAATGTTTTTTGTAATTCTTTGTAATCTCTAGAGACTGTTGTGTGTGAAAATCCCAGGAGACCAGCTCTTTCTGCAATACTCAAACCTGCCCATTTGGCACCAACAGCCATGCCACAGTCAAAGTCACAGAGACCACATTTGTCCTCATTCTGATGTTTAATGTGTGAACATTAACTAAAGCTCTTAACCTGTGTCTGCATGGTTGTGTGCATTGCATTGCTGCTACATTTTGTTACTGGTTGTGACTATAAAACTCATCACTGTTCTCTTTATGCTAAGGCTGAACTGCCACCTCTGAACTTATGACGGCGCTTACACTGGTACTGTTTCATTTATAAATAAATATGTGGCTTGTTACGTACTTATTTCTCATCTGTCATTTTTGTAAAAAATTAACATTACAATCTTTGGACATTAGGACAAAGGACGTTACTCAAGTAGTTAACCGTATTAGGTCTGAGTTGGGGGGAAAAGGTTTTAATTTTAATGCCTCAAAAATGTGAAACAACTTACAGGAACACTTAAAACTTACTGTACTCCCTTCACTGGTTGAATTTATGGCAGTTGTAAATAACTTTGAGAATACCCATAGTGGAAGTTGTTTCTGTGATATTTGATTGTATATTATTATGTATGTTTCTATTTCTGTTCGATTTATTTATTTATTTTCACTTATTTTGGTGGGAGTTTTTCTTAATATGTTAACTGTTGTTAACTGGTGTCTTTAATTGTTGTGTTTTTTGCTGCCTTCTTGGCCAGGTCACTCTTGTAAAAGAGATTTTATCTCAGTGAGTTTTTTATTCTGGTTAAATATAGGTTACAACCAAACATGATTGCCTGATAATTGCATGAATGAGCAGATTTGTAGATGTTCCTAATAAAATGGCCAGTGAGTGTATATGGCTGACTTATGTAATTGAATAGGCTCCAAAGAGAGAACAGTTTCTAATTAATTATTTCTTGATCCATTTTTGTAAATATACAGTCAGCGCCATAAGTGTTTGGACAGTAACACAATTTTCGTTATTCTGTCTCTGCACACCACTACAATGGATTTGAAATGAAACAATCAGGATATGATTGAAGTGTAGACTTTCAGTTTTAATTCAGACAGTTTAACAAAAATATTGCAATAACTGTTTAGGAATTACAGCCATTTTTTACATAGTCTCTCCATTTTCACAGGCTCAAAAGTAATTGGACAAACTAACGTAAAAATAATTCTAATATTTATGATTAATACTTGGATTCTTTGCAGTCAATGACTGCCTGAAGTCTGGAACCCATGGACATCAGCAAATGCTGAGTTTCCTCTCTTGAGATGCTTTGCCAGTGACCCAGTTCCATTGGCAGCCATACGTGCTCATGCCATAACACTGCATCCACATTTTTGACAGATGATGTGGTATGCTTTGGATCATGAGCCCTTCCTTTCTTTCTCCATACTCTTCTCTTCCCATCATTCTGGTACAAGTTAATCTTGCATCAGAACTGGTCAGGCTTTTTTTAAAGAGGTTTTTTAGCAAAGTCTAATCTGGCCTTTCTGTTCTTGAGTGTTTTGCATCTTGAGGTAAACCATCTCTATTTACATTCATGAAGGCGTCTCTTGATTGTAGACTTTGACAATGATACGCCTATCTTCTCAAGAGTGTTCTTGACTTGGCTAGATGTGAAATGTTTTTTTTCACCAAGGAAAGAATTCTGTGATCATCCACTTAAGTTGTCTTCCATGGCCTTCCAGGCCTTTTGGTGTTTCTAAGCTCTCCAATGCATTCCTTCTTTGTTTATTTGGCCACTCCTAAAGTTTCTGGTATCTCTCTGATAGGTCTGTTTTGTTTTTTTAGCCTAATGATGGCCTCTTTCACTTGCATTGATACTTCTTTGGACTGCATATTGAGAGTTCCCATGAACAGCTACCAAATGCAAATTCAATGCTTGGAATAACCTCTAGACTTTTTATCTCCTTAAATTGTAATGAAATAACGAGGAACCAGGCCACACCTGGCTATGAAACTGCTTATCAGTCAATTACCCCGTTACTTTTGAGCCTGTGAAAATGGAGAGACTATGTAAAAAAAAAAAAAATTACTGCAATTACTAAACGGTTAATGCAGTATTTTTGTTAAACCCCTTGAATTAAAGCTGAAAGTATACATTTCAATCACATCTTGATTGCTTCTTTTCAAATCCATTTTGGTGGTGTACTGAGGCAAAATTATGAAAATTGTGTCACTGTCCAAATACTTATAGACCTGTCTGTAGATACAAAATTCAAAGTATTAATATCGGGATATTAGTCTTGGTATTGGATCAAAAAGAAAATCAGTTGCCTCACCTCATCCCCAATGCTTTATAGACATGGTTCTTTTTCTGTCTTTTCTGTTAAAACTGCGTAAAACTTTACTTGTTTCTAACATTTTCTGTTTTGACTTAATGTTTTGTTATTTATTTGTTCTTTGAAAATTGACATAGACCACTTCCACATGCAAGCAGAGTGCCTGGTTATGCCCTTGATGCAGACTATCTCACACCAGCATTCACGGGTGCGAATGGCTATAATAGAGGCTTCTGGGGCTGTTGTCCAGTATGGCACAGTGAAGACCATGGATGATGTGCTCTCTCACATGGCACAGAGACTGTTTGATAACTCACCCCAGGCAAGACGATTTTTCTAGACTAGGTTCTCATATTTAATAATTTTGTGTTTTTCCTAATTTAACACACCTGATCTAGCTCAGCTGATTATCATGCCATTTATGAACTACAGACCTGCCAACCTTTGCACATTTTGTGTAGGAGCTCCAGATTTTAATACTGAAGTATGGTACTATGAGTAAAAACATGTCAAAAGGACAGAGTTCTTTTTTCCCCAATTAAAAAATACAGATGAGTATCGGTGTATTAATCTGGAATGATTGATTATTACATAGGTGTTTTGAACTCTCTAATATTAACATATAACCCTGGAAGCCTCAATCCCATCACAAATTAATAATCTTTTGATCAGTGCTCTTGTCTCAACTTGATTTTCCTGCTTAAAAGATGCGCTGATGTAGCGCCCTCACTTTCTGTCAAGGTAAATAGAGAATGTTTTGAGTTCATTAATGTGAAATAAAACTCTATCAAAGTATTTTTGTCTTAGCTAAGGTTAGCCAAAAAATGGTTACCATCAGTTAACTATATTTATTATGGATGCCACTGAAATTCTGTGGCGAAAAATGGTCAAAAACTCAACATTTGGTTTTTGGCAAAGGAGAAGCAAAAGCTAAAAATTCTAGCTTTTTAATTTCAATGATAATCAGACGGTGAATAAAACATAGTTTATTTCCTTTGCTCTGCAATTAGCAGGTGATATGTAAAAGGATTATACTGAAAATGTACTGTGTTATGTTTTCTACAGTTTTACAATTTACTTGGGACAGGCCCTTATGATTTTGCAATTTGTAGTAGCTCTTGCCATAGGACGTTGTGCTTTGCATTATGGAAATAGGGTCCCATTTCTCACTCAGGGTAATAGTGAGAATCTGATGTTGATGTACCCTCTTAATAGTCTATGCATCTTGCTGTTCTTTGCCATGGCTTTTTCTAGGTGAGGAAGGCTGTGACTTTGGTTGTTGGTGACTGGCTTCTCAACCTCCGGGACAGATACTCTTACTTCCACAAGCTTATTCCACTGTTGCTGAGCAGCCTCAGTGATGATCTCCCAGAGATAAAGTATAACTAACCAATGACATTATTATGCCATTTCCGATCATGATTATGTATAACCTTTTAAAGTTTGGTGTAGCAATTTGTAAAAGCGGGTCTTATTTTCTTTGTTCAGGGCTTTGGCATGTGAGCTTTGGAAGCAAGTTGGTACTCAGTGGGAGAAAGAAAACGAAGATGATCTGAAGGACAAAATGGACTTCTTCCTTTCCCCAACTTTGCAGTACCCTCCTGGAGGTGAGTTTAACAAATACATCAAAAGTGTCCATAGAGCATGCTCCATGATGCGGCACATATTTAAGGTTTGAGTCAGCAGTGTTATTTCAGGTGTGTCTTCTTTACTGCATGATGCAAAAACTTTTTTATATTCTTGTCACCTCACAGTGTGTGCAGTTTTTGGCTGTGAAGTTATTTAACATTTAAGCTATTTGTTTGTTCCCTAGTTAAATTTGTATAAATTAGATGCATTGTGAGAAATATGTCTAGTTCACTAACATGTCCATTTTTTTCAAATTACATTTTAAATCTTTTTTTTTTTTTTTTTTTTTTTTGGGATTTTCACCTTCAATTATATGAGATTTGGATTTTTCAGTTTTTCAAGGCATTGGGTGACTGATTAAAAAAATGATACTACTCTTTCTTCACATTTCATGATTTTATCTAGTAGATGCAGGCAGGCCTGTGGATAAAGTGCTTTATCACTGGTCATTGAACCCGGTGTGCGTGCGTGCTTATGTGTGTGTGTGTGTGTGTGTGTGTGTTGCGGGGGAAGGAGGACTCGGGACTTTCCTTTTCTTTCTTTTCCCCTTCAAGCACTTTTCAGCATGCACCGCTTTCATATATTGTTATATATGCCACTGTTATAACATACAAATGCAAACCTTGCAATATGAGCTTTTATCATATCATAAAAGGCATAATGTTAAAAAGTCTGTTATTACGAAAAGTATTGAGTGTAGCGATCTAAACCTCCTCCATTTTGCTTTCTTGAAAAATACATTTAAGTTTAATTCATTGATTAATAAAATTTTTATCTAGCTCTTACTTAATATGGAATATTATTTCCAGTTTTGTATTTAAAGTAGATGGTCTCCAATCTTTTTATTTAGTTACACATCAAAACTACCAATTAAGCTATCCGATTTCCATCAACATTTTTTTTTTTATTTTTACTCAGATTATATATTACATATTTAGGGTCCCTGGAGGACTAGTGGTTAGGCCTTAGCACTATCACCGCTGCACAGCCCGGGTTCAATTCCCAGCCAGGGAAGACAGTGCACTCCCAGTGCTGGTTCCGAGCCCGGATAAAATTGGGGAGGGTTGCGTCAGGAAGGGCATTCAGCGTAAAAACTGTGCCAGATCAAATATATGCGGCCAATGATCCACTGTGGCGACTCCTAACAGGGATTCTCCTTTTTCTCCAACATCTTGTAGAAAGCATTCCCAGAAGAGTGGAGGCTGTTATAGCCTAAACAGGGGGGTGGGGGTTTGAATGTGTGATGTGATATGATATACGTGATGGTCAGGTGTCCAGATACACTATATGGCCAAAAGTATGTGGACACCTAGCCATCACACCCATATGTGAGCCCAAACTGTTGCCACAAAGTTTGAAGCACACAGCTGTCTATAATGCCTTTTTGTGTAATAGCATTAAGAATTTCCCTTCCTTGAAACAAAGGGGCCTAGCCCAAACCTGGGTGGTATGCATTCTTTTAGATCACTTTAATTCCAAGCAATTCATAAACTTCACAGAGTGTACATGACATAAATTATGTGTATTAATCTGTTCTTATGGATCCCAATCTGTGCTTTGGCCATGCTCCTTTCCCCCAGATTTTATCTACCCCCAGATGCCCAGCCATGGGGCTATAGTGAGCCGTCTGTGGGAAACAAACACTGTGGCTCTTTGGAATCAACATCTGTGTTACAGTTTTAATTGTTTGGGTGTCCTGACTTACCTGATGCAATCTATCATTCCATCACCAAGTGTTGACACCTGATTAAAGGATGCTCAGGAGACTCAGGAGGGAAGGAAAGGCACGGCAGGCACACCTGCTCAAGGCACGCAACCCCCTCCCATCTGCTCTCTGTCAGGGTCAATGCTGCGCAATGTACTCTGAAGCACATCTGCCCCTAGGGGTGCATAAATTGCTCACTGTTTCACCGATCGGACACCACCATAGTCACTAGTCAGCTGATAACTGAATAAACCACAGCCAACTTATAACAAAAATTACTGAGTGGGAAAGGGGAGGTCTAACTACCACCTTCATTCTATGCATTTAGCCTTTGTATTGAATTTCTAGCAGCACCAGATGAAAAGTGTGCACATCCCAGAGATACACTATATGGCGAAAAGTATGTGGACACCTGACCATAACACCCATATGAGGGCCTCCCCAAACTGTTGCTACAAACAGTTGACAGGTACTTGCATGCAGTGGGTGCCAGCCTGGCATGTGCTCCTTCTCTCTTTGACCACCACTGTAGTCGACACCCCTACATATTCATTTTGGGCTCTGCTTTGTAGCGGTCTAGACATCGTTCTATGGACTCTTCCTCTTCATCTGTATCCGCATCAGAAGAATCCAGCAAGAAGACGGACATCCTCCCCTTCTTTGGTGGCTGTTTCTCTGTTGTCTCTGCAGATGGTTGTTGTGCAGGCCTGTCTCCCATCACCAGGTTGCTTACTGAAGCCCACACCTCACTCCTTTCACCTTTGGTCCTTTCAGGTCCTTGAACCTGGGATTAAGTGCAGTAGCGATTTTCAGCCATGTAAGGTTGGTGCTGTCCTTCCCTTTAGCTAGGTGTGTGGTAAAGTCTGTCTTGAATATGAGGTAGATTGGATCATTGTCTGAGGGCTCTATAACTCTGATCAAGTGGCACAAGGCTGGCAACACCACTGAACAGGAGACATACTGCTCTCCCCCCAGCAGTTCAGTCACATATCTGCAATGGAAAGCACAAGATGTTTTAAACATGTCAGTAAATTGTTACGTTCCTGCATTTTGGCAAGCTCCTGTGCAGTCAACATGGCAACATTGCTGTTTTGCTGAGCCAGGGTAGTGGTCAGTGGAGATTTGTTTTGCTGGATTCACGTGACTATCTCTAGGGTCGAATTCCGTCTAGTTGCAACGTGCTGAACGAGTGATTCTTGCTTCTGTCCAAGTGCAATTTGGTGTTCAAATGGAAGTAGTCTCGCGGTTGCAAACATGTTATGAGCACTGTCAGTGCCAAGTGTGGTTAACTTTTCTTTGATTTTCCATTCTTTTGTGACATCCAGAAAATGATCAGCACATGCCTCAGCATAATGTCGCTCTTCTGTTTTACTCACAGTTAGTGCAAACGATTGCAGATTCCATTCTTTATCAGTGAAGTGCGCTGTGAGTCATTGCTCTCAGAAGTCCAGTGGTCCCCTGTCAGAACGACGTGCTTTGCTTGCTCAAGCATGTTCATCCTCCGTGCCCGCTCGCCTTCATACAAAGTGTGTATTCTTTACATGATTGTTCCCCTCGAGGGCAGGTTATAAGAGGTGTCTCTCGATGCAATTCGAATGATTTCTCTCAGTCCAGTTCATCTTCTACTATGTTAATTGGGCAGCAGTTTTCAACTGTCCAATTAGCCAAAGCATTAGTTACCGTCTCACTTACAGGTTTCGTTATTCACCCACGAGTACCACACTCCTGTAATATAGATTGGCGACGCCCCATAGAGATAGTTTCAGTAGGGTGTTTTGCTTTAAGGTGAAGTGAAGTGACTTGTGGCCAAGTATGGTGACCCATACTCGGAATTTGTGCTCTGCATTTAACCCATCCAAGTGCACACACACAGTAGTGAACACACACACACACCGTGAACACACACCCGGAGCAGTGGGCAGCCTTTTTTTTTGCTGCGGCGCCCGGGGAGCAGTTGGGGGTTCGGTGCCTTGCTCAAGGGTCTCACCTCAGTCGTGGTATTGAGGGTGGGAGAGAGCGCTGGTCATTCACTCCCCCTACCTACAATCCCTGCTGGACCTGAGACTCGAACCCACAACCTTCAGGTTCACCTTCGGGTTGCAAGTCCGACTCTCTATCCATTAGGCCAGGTAATTAAATTCGGCTTTGCAAATTACTTTTGTTTTCTCCAAAGATCCATCGGGCAACTTTTTAAAGTGAAACTTTCCGCCTAAAGCTCCTTCCGTGTCCTTATCCATCTTTAACCAGGATGGTCCGGTTTGGCAGCGCACGTTGTCCCAAGTCATAGGTCACCCACCACAGGAAGAAAACAAAATGTAGTTGCGTTGATTGTGTTAATTTTTTTAAATGCATTAAATATTTCAAATGAATCGCAAAAATTACCTCGTTAATTTTGACAGCACCAATTTAACACCTTGAACACTTTGTCATTTTCCTCGAACCATTCCTGAACAATTTTTGCATTGTAGCAGGGTGCATTATCCTACTGAAAGAATGGCCACTGCCATTAGGGTACACCTTTGCCATGAAGGGGTGTACTTGCTCTGCAACAATGTTTAGGTAGGTGGTACATGTCAAAGTAACATCCACATGAATGCCAGGACCCAAGGTTTCCCAGCTGAACATTGCCCAGAGCATCACACTGCGTCCACCAGCTTGCCTTCTTCCCATAGTGCATCCTGGTGCCATATATCCCTGGCTGTACCCGGCCATCCACATGACTTAAAAGAAAATGTGATTCATAAAACCAGGCCACCTTCTTCCATTGATCCATGGTCCAGTTCTGATGCTCACATGCCTATTGTAGGCCCTTACGGCAGTAAATGGGGTCAGCATGGGCACTCTGACTGGCCTGCGGCTACGTAGCCCCATGTAATGTATGGAATGCACTGTGTGTTCGGACACCTTTTTGTCATAGCCAGCATTAACTTTTATAGTAATTTGTGCTACAGTAGCTCTTCACTTCCCACGCACATCAGTGAGCCTTGGAAGCCCATGACCCTGTCAGAAGTTCACTGGTTGTCTTACCTTGTAATCTCTGCATACCGGGAACACCCCACTAAACATGCCATTTTGGAGATGCTCTGACCCATTCATCTAGCCATCACAACTTGTTGCTCAGATCCTTACGCTTGCCCATTTTTTCCTGCTTTGAACACATCAACTTTGAAAACTGACTGCTCACTTTCTGCCTAATATATCTCACCTCTTGAGAGGGGCCATTGTAACAAGATAATGTTATTCACTTCACCTGTCAGTTGTTTTAATGTTATGGCTGATTGGTGTGTGTGTGTGTATGTATGTATGTGTGTGTGTGTGTGTATGTGTACATATATATATATATATATATATATATATATATATATATATATATATATATATATATATATATATATGTGTGTGTGTGTAAAATATATATATATATATATATATATATATATATATATATATATATATATATATACACACCTATATATATATATATATATATATATATATATATATATATACACCGATCAGCCATAACATTATGACCACCTGCCTAATATTGTGTTGGTCCCCCTTTTGCTGCCAAAACAGCCCTGACCCATCGAGGCATGGACTCCACTAGATCCCTGAAGGTGTGCTGTGGTATCTGGCACAAAGACAGCAGATCCTTTGGATTGAGATCTGGGGAATTTGGAGGCCAAGTCAACACCTTGAACTCTTTGTTATGTTCCTCGAACGATTCCTGCTCCGTGTTCCTCGAACATTGCTCCGTGGTCCAGTTCTGATGCTCACCTGTCCATTGTAGGCACTTTTGGCAGTGGACAGAGGTCAGCATGGGCACTATGACTGCCTACACAGCCCCATATGCAGCAAGCTGCGATGCACTGTGTGTTCTGACACCTTTCTGTCATAGCCAGCTACAATAGCTCTTTTGTGGGATCAGTCCAGATGGACTAGCCTTCACTCCCCACGCGCATCAGTGAGCCTTGGGCACCCATGACCCTGTCGCTAGTTCACCGGTTGTCCTTCCTTGGACCACTTTTGGTAGGTACTAACCACTGCATACCGGGAACACCCCACAAGGCCTGCTGTTTTAAAGATGCTCTGACCCAGTCACCTAGCCATCACAATTTGGCTGTTGTCAAAGTCTCTCTAATCCTTACGCGTGCCCATTTTTCCTGTTTCCAACACATCAACTTCGAGAACTGACTAGTCACTTGCTGCTTAATATATCTCAACCCTTGACAGGTGCTATTGTAACAAGATAATCAATATTATTCAGTTCACCTCTCAGTGGTCATAATGTTATGGCTGATCGGTG